TAATAGTTCCTAAATTAAAAAAGGAAGAAAAATAAGTGAACAGGAAAAACTGTACTAGGCTGGCATACAGCCATGAAGCGATGAATTTTTTATTTATTCTTGTCCTACATCCTTCTATGTCCTCTTTCCTTCTTGACTTTAATTTAAGTACAATGCATGGACATCCTTTTACTGAGATTATATATCTCTTAGATCTCTTTCTCCAACCCATTTTAATCCTATGCGAGACTTATACTGGTGGCCATAAGTTTCTGGAAATTGGACAAATGAAGTAAAAGATCAATCTTTCCATTACACAAACAAGTTACTAGGTGCTCATATGAAATGGAATGACTACAGTATGTACACTTCCAGATCTTTGCTGAAGTGACTTTCTTTTTTGCCCTTTTCAGGTTTACTGTGAATTTGATTGGGAGTTGGATGAATTGGAGGTACAAAATCAAACTTTTTATGTTTGTGTATGCTTTGGATTGATAGAGTTCTGAAATTGTGTCGCTTATGATGCTTCTTATCAACTTTATCTTTTGCATCTGGTTGCTTGTCATTGATACAGACATGGTTATTTTAATTGGCAAGGATTATTTTTTATATGAGCCCACTATTCAAGTTTGTAGATTATTTTGACCTTTGTAGCATATTCTTTTATAAGGAATCCATATATATCTCAGAGAGTGGCACGTCCAATCATATAGTGATGCTTCTTTAATGTATCTGTAATTGTTTTCTTTTTTTAATCAGATACATTGACAATACTATTGAATATTTCTCTGCCATTTACGAGATTCATCTTGAGTTAGAATATGGCAATTTCTTCTATAATTCAGGACTAGAACTGGAAGCTGAAGTATAGAAAGGCTAATGTTTATCTAATGATGTATTCCCTCGGGATTGTGTTCTGATTTCAATGAGTAATGTGTTTCAACGTGCATATTTATATTGTAATCATTTTTCCTAGTTACAAACATTTGATGAGTGAGCTTCTTTTGGTTATTTAATGATATTTAACAGCAAGTCCTGGTAACATGCTTTTGCATCTTTTTTATTATTGAATTCCCCCTTTGTTAAGTATAAAGAGACGATATAAAAACATCAATGAAGCGTGTTTCTAAATTGTCTCTAAACCTGTAGGAGTTCACTGATAAATTGATAGAAGAGGAGGAATTATCTGCAGACCAGAAGGATGCATTCAAGGTAAATTGTAAAAAAGATGGAAGTGACTCGTAACCTTCTACTTCTCTCTGCCTCCTTCCCTTATCCTTGCACTAGTTGTTTCCAAATTTCCTTCTTTTATGCCTTCTCAGGAGTTTGTCAAGGAGAAAGTACGTGAACAAAAGAAAAATAACCGGGAGGTACTCTTTTTTTCTTTAATATTTTTACCAAGATATAATTTACTATATTTGGGTGTTTGAACAATATTTATCTTAAAGTATAAAATTTGTTTAGAAGTATAATTTTCCTTCTATCTCTCTCTTTTATAGGCAAGGGAAGCCCGAAGAAAAGCCATTGAAGAAATGAGTGAGGAAGCTAAAGCGGCATTTGAAAATATGAGGTTTTACAAGTTCTACCCTGTACAGACACCAGATACTCCTGATATATCAAATGTTAAGGTAATGTTCTAAACACTGATATTTTCGATTTGTATTGGCATATGTGAAAGCAGCTTTGTTGCAACTTACAAGGTCGGATAGTTGTCATATTTAAACTGGGTGTTCAAAATTTGTGCAATAGACTATGCTGGTCTACCATCTTGAATGCCTTTGCTTTTGATTTTTGTTCATTGGAAAATTTGGTTGAATCTGGTTTTCCAAATGTCTTGGTTATACTTAGTGCCTAGGATAAAGTTTCTGTGTTGTTATATGGGATTGGATTTGTGTCATAAATGCCAGATGATTGCTGTTTTACTTGGTGGATTCAGCTTAGAAAAAGTCTGGTGTTTGGTAATTCAGTTGATCTATTGTTGTACAATCATGAGTTTGTTCCAACTTCCAAGGTTCTGTCTAGGATTTGACCTTTAATTCAGTGAGCTCTTGCAGAAGAATAACATATTAAAAATTTCAATACATTTTGCTAAAGAAAAGAGACCTGGTTGTTGCTTGTTGCCCAGTTTTTCTGGGAACATTTTAGTATAGCCAGTGCCTTTTTTGTTCTCGTTTTCAAAATATATAAATAATAGCAAAAAGAAAGAAGAGGAGGATCTTCCTTGGGCTTTATTGATGCTTAAGTCCTTTTTAATGTTCAGTATGACAACCTTATTGTCTCTTCTCCTTGAAGTGAAATTCTTTGTATTTGCCACTGGTATGCACACTTTAGGAAATACCTGCCAAATACTCTACCATCAGTCTCCCCTCGTCCAGTTCACTTAGATGTTTGTTCTTGCTGCTTTCGTTAACCACCTATGCCATTCCTCTTTTGAATTAGTCTTGTTCATGTTTATTGTCTAATTCATTAAATGCGTCTCCTCAAATTGTGAGTCTCTTCTAATCAATGAGGGCTAACCAATAATTAGTATGTTTTTAAATTTATGTAGTATTTGATGCTTAATGTAGTTATATGCCTTGGCTTAAGCTTACAGCTTTTTGTTTCTCTTCATTTCTTAGAAGTTAGGTCTTGCAACTTGTAGGCATTTTTAGTATTGATTGTTGGTTGAGTAAATGGATGTGCATCCTCTCCGGATCATATCTCAGCTTTTAATTCCAAAGTTGATATAAAAGACTGGTTTTGCTTCTGTCTTTCTTAGAAAGAATAAAAAGTGTTTACACTTCAATGCTACTTTCTTCTTCTTTTTGTTATTTTTTTCCTTCCATTTTCTCATTTCCTCCTTTCACCTCTGCCTCTCCCTATTTCCAGGGTCAAAACCTCTGCAGCCCATGCCTTGCGTTTTCTTCTTTAAACTTTTTGTCTATTACCTCCCGCCTCCCACTTTCCAGATCTGAGATCTCTGCAATGCATAACTACAGAGCCAAACTGGCATGATTTTGGGTGTGGCGTAACCTTGTTAGTTAGTTAGTTATTGGTATGGTGAACGAGGTGGGTTTGACTGAAATTTTGGTACTTGATTGGGTAGTGGATCTAAAGCTTAAACAGAGGTGGTCTACATGATGTTTTCTGTTGGGTGGCTGTTTTTGTCGAACGTGGAAAAGGAAGATCATTGATGAAATGCAACTTCAAATCGCTCATAGATAGACAAAGCAAAGGGAAATTTAATATTTGAAAAGTACGAATCCTTAAACAAGGGTTTTGTGCTTCCCTGAAAAGCACGAAAAAATTGTTCTGGGTTTTGGATTAAACCAGTGCCAAGTAAAAAAGCAAAGGAGAGGAAAGGTTGTATAGGTACTTTGTTTTTTGTGTTTTGCGGAGAGATTAAACACCTACTTGTGAGCATAATTGTGATCTTGTGATCTGACTTGAACAGTAAGGATTCAAAATTTAGGTGTGATGAACAGTTCCGGAGAGATCCACATCCTGAGAACATGTAGGCAAAGAAAGTTGGGCTTGCTCAATGTCAACTTGATGAATATTAGTGGATATCTTCTCAAAGTCAAACAATTAGCTTCTCATGACATGCACAAAGAGACCATATCAACTTTAGGCTTCTGCATATCCTGATAGGAAGTTGGTGTAGAAAAACCTTAAGCGTGGCTTTTATCTCTTTTAATGACATTAACTATTAGTAACATGTAAGAGTAGATATGTGATGGGTTGGTATGATTTTCTATGCATCCTCTCTTTAGCCTCTATTTTTTTTATTTTTTTTATTTCTCCTTTTCTCTTTAGCATGCTTTCCATATAACTAAAGAAAGGTGTTTAAGCCCTTCTTTCACTTTTTAAAAAAGGTTCTTGTTTCTTAAAGAAAAAGAAAGGTAATGAAGAGAGCTTTTCTGATAGATGTGGACCATGATATGCTTCGATATTAATGTTTTCCGGGTGCTATTGCCTCGCAGGCTCCATTCATCAACAGGTATTATGGCAAAGCTCATGAGGTATTGTGATTATTACTAAGGTCAAGAAGATGGCAGATTTGAAATGTCTCGAGCCTTGTTCAGCCATGCTGTTAACTATGTGATAAAGAATTGGTACACCGAAAAAAAATGGGAGGCAATCCCCTGGTGCCTCAATATAGAATTGCTTGAATATAGCCTAGGTGTCTCCCAGACAGATGTAAACTTGTAGCTTCAGAATTTTTAGATAAAAGAAGATGAGGTGCACTTGTTACCACAGGAGGAATTTGTAAAATACATTGAGGCTTTTGAATTTTGTACTAGTGGAGCTGTGAAGCTGGAATTTTCCAGTGGATTAGAATTTGTCTTCATTTCTCTCTGAGTAATGTTCTTTTTCGAATTGACATGCGCTTTGTATTACCACAATTGGGATATTGTAGGAGCAAGATGAATGACAGCACAGTTCTGAATGTGTCCTTTACTTTTTGTGAATAAAGCAGTTGCCTTTTATTTTATTTATTATAGTATTGTTTTTATAATTATTTTTTAATTATCGTTTTAGGTAGAACAGTTGTATCATGTCATCATGATGACGTGGTATAACAAACCAAACATAAAAACCTTTTGAGTTCATTAACATGGTTTGAAGATTGTCCCAAGTTCGGCTACAATAAAAATGGTAATACCTAAAACTCAACAGGTTCTACTTTAGCTGGTCCCTCTTTCTGAAAATAATGAGTAGAACCTGTAATCAATCATTGAGTCATAAATTATCAGTAAATTTAGGTTTTAGCCATAAAAAAAAACTCACTTTTGGAAAAAGCCAAAACTTTTCCAAAAAAGACAAAAAAACTCATCAACTTTCAAACCAAAGACATGCAAATGTAAGAGATTCCTTAGAAAATCCAAAAATAAATAAAGGCATTTTTGTCCATTTTGGCTTCTTTTCAAAAGTGTGTTTACAGAACTAGTGAAAGCATAAGGCTCTAGAAACAAACATTATGACAAACTATACACAACAATTGAATGATAGATTTGCTCATACCTATTCACAAAGCATACTTGAAACTTGTCCAATGCAAATGGAATTTAGAGGCTCTAGATCAGAATTGTGTCTAAAACATTCATCCATGTAATATATGACCCCATAAAACATCGGCAGGCAACAAATCATATGATAATATACATCAAGCACTCGTACTTCCCGGCCAGCACTCCCTTAATTTCACTAGACCAGAAACGATAATAGCACAAAATGGCCCTTTCGTTTGAATTACACATACATCAGATACTATTACAATGCCAGCTGAGTTGTTTGGGCCAGATACAACAACAGCTTGACATCATGTACAGACTCAGTTATGCTGAAAGGCAAAAGCTACCTTGTTGAGAAAAAAGGAAGCAGATCCTCTCAGTACTCTAGAAACCGGCTTTCATCACCAGTAACCAAGATCAGTGACCAGCAGCAGGAGATGATGTTTCCATTCACCAATGCTTGCGAAAGGCGTGAGGCCACAAAAGAGTGGCAGAAACAAAAATGAAGTACAATAAAACACCACCCGCCGAATCCAGTATGGAAATATTGTATTTCCTTTTGTTCCTTGAGACACGTCGATCGGCCCATGGAGTATAAAGAACAAAGCAGACGTGCATACATTACAGAAGAAATGCAGCATGCAAAGAGTCTCCCAATATATAAGCCAATGATACCCACTCCCTCCCAATGTGTCTACACAGAGCTTGCCAAAAAATCCACACATAATTCCCAGTAGCAAGATTATGAAAGTTACTGGCATTATCTGTTTTGCAGTTGCAGAGCGCTGGAGGAGCAAAAAAGCAATTGCAAGAATCATTAAGACACCAAATAGCATTCGGCTCACAACTTCAACCTTGCACCTTAGAATGTGAAACCCTGAATTGAAAGATGTCATTGGATCCCAGGCTTTCCAGCTCAGCCAAGACTCTGACCCCTGGGATAGAAAAAGAATTAGTTAAAATTTACCAGAAAACAAAAACCAATGTTACGGTATGTACGAGCAAAATATCATATATCATGCACATATTGTTTACAGTGCTGTCCAAGTGTTCATTACAAAAAGGCTCATTTATACGCAATCCCAAAATACTTAAAACCTAAACAACAGAATGCAATAACAATTAAACCCAACTAACCAAATTCTTAAATTGTAAATATTTAACAAGCTAAATAACTAAATCTTGAATTATAGTTTTAATAGAATAGAACCAAATCAAGTGAACCTAATTTCCTTTTGGACTGGTCAGTGGATTCCCTCTATAATAAAAATCAAATCCTAAAAATTGCCCTTTGAGATTTTCTTACATGTAATCAATTATTGATGTAACTCAGGTGTAGGAACAATCCAAAAAGCTGCAGCCAATAGATAGTTCTAGCTGTTTCTTGGAGAAAGATTTTTATAGGAAAGTTGTCAAGAAAGAGGTTATTGCTGATTTTTCGTACATACAGCTCGGTATGAGTTACTTATTTTAGCCACATATCATGTCTCGGTATTTTCTCATGTTCTAAACAACTAGCAACATCCTGTTACCTGGAGTTATGGATCACATAAATAGTCATATACGAAAGCCAAATAATAACAGCACTAACAACTAAGTGAAGCTTAAACTAAATCACATGAAGTCAGAAAAGAAAAGAGGAATTACCTTTGTTGAAGGTGTACAGGATGCAGTAGCTTCAGTAAGTCTTTTGTACGAATACACATAAGCACCATATATCAGGGATGCGATCATGACAAGCAAACCAGCAACTAGACAGTCAATGCACTCTTTAAGCAGCTCAGCATGTCTTGTATCTTCTAATTGACTCTTAAACTTTTCAGTTTTGAAGGATGCTTTTGATACATCCATCGAAAATTTTGACCTCTGCAGTTGATTTGAATCATAGTTGAGAGCTAGCTGTGTCTCTTTCAACTTTAGTTTCTGCATTGTAAGATTAAGCTCCAATGTTTTGAGGTCGTTAGCACGGGCTTGCTCTATGACAGACTTCCCAATAGTTCCAATCATGGACTGGTTGGCTCCAGATTCAGATGTTCTTGGAGGAATATAAGTCAACTGGTTTGTTTGCCCATGCAGGGCAAGCTCCAGATTAATAGAACTTGTTAACATACTCTGATTTAATTCATCTCTATAATTTAATTGACCCTGGGTTGCACCAGTGTGGGACAATGCTTTTGAGTGACAATCTTCTATATCAGAGCTGCTTGCACCATCTTGTTCATCATGAGTCACATGTAGAGAAGACCCTTCCATGTTTTGGTGGCTCGAGAGACATCTCCTGTTATTTGTAGATGATTCCTTGATCGATTTTAGAGTCCTCAAGGTACTCCCAAATGATTTTTCAAAGTTCCGGATAAAACAATCACATGTGTTCCCGAAAACCTGTAGCCAAATACGCAGTCAAGACAGATAAATATGACTTCAGCATCTAGGACTTGTGGAGTGTTGATATCAACAAGAAGAAGGAACTTCAAACCACTTTCAATGGATGAGTCAGCAGTTAAGTCTGGCTTACATTGGCTAAAGATTCTCTGACAGCTGAAGCACATATCTGCACTCCAGTAAATAGATGTATAATTAGTTGATGCCCTATTATCCGAATATGAAGAAAATAAAATTATGAAGCAAAGAGAAAGTATAGAATTGTTCATCCCCACCATTGCAGGCAGGCTTCATTTTTACTGTGACAACTATTTCATCAAACCAAGTACGAAACAGCCTGATATCACAAGCTGAAAGGTTACTGGAAGGGCGACTTTGGTCATATGAATTTGAGTTGTCATAAGTAATAAACATGAGTCAATTACATGTCCAATGAACTAATTAGTGCATTTTGACAATGAAAGAAAGTACATACAGAGAACTGACGGTGTAAGTTGAAGCTTATTGTTGATGTAGGTATTGTAGTATGAAAAGAAGAATACCTTAGCAAGATGATCAGAAGACATCCCTCCACCTACCTCGCCATTTCTTTCCAGAATCTATATTAAAATATCATCACACCCAAATTATTGATGAGTACACTTACTGAGAATTGCAAAAAGTGAAACAGAAGCAGGGAATGTTATCTCTTCAAGAGTCACAATCAGTCAAGGAAGAAGCACCATGCACAGGTAATAGCCAGAGAAGACTGACCACGTGAAACTAACACCATAAAAACCCATAAGGAAAGAATCAAGAAAAGAAGTAGAGATGAAAGATGAAATGAAGGCTCAACAACATGAGTAAAATAAAATAACACCACATGAATAACATACTGTTTCCTTCATATAATAATGAAAAATAGACCATGTAAAACAAACGCCAAGCACCTTGAACTTGACATGAGGTTTTCTATGTTTCGTATGAATTCCATGTGTAACAAATCCAGCTGCCTAGAAAATGTAATCAATTTCTATAAGGAGAAAAAGAAAATTTCATATTAAAATCATTTGAAGAAACAAAAAAGAAAAGGCTTAGTTATTAAAATCAAAATCCAAAACATGTTTTAGAGAATTTGTAGGTCAATATTTAAATAATGTAGTTGTTTAAGCATCTCCAAAGGAGGCTTAGCCACTTTCGACATTCCTACTCCAACCATGCTCACTATGTTTAGTAGTCATTAATTTCTCCCCACAAATTCCAAAAGGAAAAGAAAAAAAAAAGTGATTGGTATGTATATTGAAATATTAGGTAGCTAGTCACTACAAGCCACTTTCTCTCTCTTCAGATTTCAGAGCTCAAAACATTCAACATCGTTAACTACAGGAACTAAGAGGTTATCCACTCCAACATTAGATAGGGATAAAAAAGAAATGCATATACTGTGCCATCCTACTATATACAGATTAGGGGCACCTAAGGAAGCCACAATTTCCATTTTGCTAAATTTGTATAAGGCCAACAAAAATCTACATTAATACGCAGAATCATATTACTGAATGAATAGAACAAAAAGATACCATATTGACAATCTACAGATCCCAAGGACCAAATCAAGCTTAAGTCATAAAAGAATTGGTTGATAGGGACACAGCAACAAGCCACAGCCACAAACCATTCCAAATAAGTTACACATTTCCTTTGAGAGTGATAATTACGATATTCTGTACATATTTCATTCCCATCACTTAATGCCTGTTAATTCATTGCCCATTAATCCTTGTAAACAAGCTCACTAACTTTGTATAAAAAGACACAAACTTTATCAATACAACAATGTGAACTACAAAAGTATAGCGACCACTAAATCCTCCAAACTTTAACTTCAAAAACTACAGACAGAATTCTTTGTATCAAGGCACAACCCATCTCACATTTTTCTAGCTAGACAAACCTCAAATACAACTCTGCAAGTTCAAAACGACAAAAGCAAAGAACCGGGTTGAGAATTTCAGAAGTCCAATCCAAGAAACAAACTTCGAAGGGGTATAAGAACCAGATTTACAAACAACTAACGCTTAAAAATCATAACTTTTCCACACACACCACAAACAAATACCAAAATTCAACTCCAAGTTATAAACTTTCTACACGCACAACGACCAATTATTGAAACCCGCAATCTCGCAAATCAAACACAGAACAAAACCAGTTAAGAACCAAAAATAGAGACATAGAAGAAGAAAAACAGAGGAAACTCATGAGACTCTAGGGTGTGCAAGATCCAATCTAATCCACCCAAACTGACCGATTCAATTCAATTCAATCCAATTTTAATTGGTTTCGATAACTTGGCATTGGATTGGATCCCTAATTTCCAAAACCAACATGATTGAATCGGATGACGGATTTGCTTGTGAGAATCCAATCACATCAAATCCAATCCAATCAAGTTAGTGCTTAGTTTGCTCATGTAGATAATTGCAAATAGAAAGTTATGAACATTTAAGTCATTTGGTGGAGTTATGTTTTATATAGTATAAAATCGAAACCAAAAAAAAGCTCTAGGATTGGAATAGAATTCATGCGTTTAAAATAAATGTTTCATGCATAGATTCATGTATTAGCCTTGTAGTTCATATTTTGGGGACTTGGTTCAATGTTAGTGACATAATTGTCTATAATAAATTGGGGGATTTGGTTCAATGTAAGTGACATCTTCCTACTATCTATAAATAGTTGTTAGAATTGTTAGTTTGAGTTATAGAAACAAATTGAGATTTTCTCTACTATTGAGAACTACACTCTCTCCTTGTTTTTGGTATTCTTAGAATCAACAAAGCTTGGAAACCTACATTCTCTTCTTGTTCTGGGTATTCTTAGGGGGTGTATCCAATTCTAACGTTTAAAGACTTTTTTTAAGTAAGTGACTTTTATAGAGTTGACAGATTCTTAATGACTTTTACATACTTTATAAAGTAAAGTGATATACTTTCATAGAGTTTTACATACTTTTATCTACTTTTTGTAATATTTATTTATGAATAGTATTTATCTTTTTAATATTTATCATAGAGTAGTATAACAAAAAAAGAAATTGCTTCTAATATTTATGTTTTGTATGGTGAAGTAACTAGTCCGCAAATGGAACAAGTAGCCAAAAAAAAAAAAAACAATTGGATACAATTGTGTAAAAGCAAAGCAATATTTTTCCATGTCTAAGAACTTTTCACTTGAGAACAGTGTCAAGTATGGAGAAAATAAGGTTCCTGCTCTTGGATGCAACTCAAATATAAGGTGTGCAATCAATATTATGGATTTAATTAGTTTAGTTTGTAGAGCTGGGTCTTGGGGAAGAAGGAACAAATTATCCAATTGCTAGAACGAAGTTAAGATCCTCAAGACCTTCTGGAAGTATACTTTGTTTGGGTGGGAGATACCAGTAAAGTGGCATAGTGATAGAGCCAAGCCAAATAACAAAACTAGAATGTGGGGTTAGCTGTAAACCCCAGGATGCTATGAGCTAAATTGCTATTGGAGAATGTGGGTTTTGTAACAAAATCATATGTTCCTACAGATAGGCCTTAAAAATTGCAAATGGAGGCAAAAAAAAAATTTATGGAAGAAACCAATGTAGTCCCACCGTAGCTCTTAGTATGTAGCAATCGTTTCAAGCATTGAAAAAAAAAACAAGCAAGAAATGGCTCATCATCATAACAATTCCTAGGACAGATAATGGAAGCCAAAAGAAAAAAATCAAATTGAAGGTGTAGTAGGCCATCTCTTGATAGTACACCGACCAAAGAGGGAGGGGGTCTAGAGACCCAAACATGGTGGCACACCCTCGAATGCCCAAAGCTGCAGCATGATCGAATTCATTGATAAAGTCTTGGGTAAATTAGGTAGACTTTTGGTGTTAAGATATAGGCTTAAAAGTATTGAAAAGTCATTCATTTAACAAAGTTTTCAAAAGTCATTAATTTTTTGGATACCACAAAACTTTTAAAGACTTTTTAAAATCACAATTGAATACTACTAAACTTTTAAAGACTATTTAAAAGTCATAGTTGAATACCTCCAGATTTTTAAACTCATTAAAAGTCTTTAAAAGTTAGAATTGAATACACCCCCCTAAGTACCAGTTTGACATTGCTTATTTGGGGCCAAGCCCATTTGATAAAAGGGTTGAAAATCACTTTTGTCAAAAAATTGCTGTGAGCCAAAGCCATTAGGAGAAGCGGTTTCCTTTTTAATGCAATAGTTACTGCAACTCTGAATATCATGGCGTCTTGATGTGAGTTGTGGCAGCATCAGTGCACTCTCTCTCTCTCTCTCTCTCTCTCTCTCTCTCTCGTATAAATATCGATGGTGATCTTCTTCTAATTGGTAGCCATCAAAAGGAAAAGGTAAGTTCACAAGCATAAATATCGATGGTAATCTTCTTCTAATTGGTAGCCATCAAAAGGAAAAGGTAAGTTCTTGACGAATGAAATTACACTTATGGTTTAGGATTTTTTTAGTTGGCTTAAAAGTTGGTCATTCCAGTGTTATAAAAAAAAAAAAAAAAAGATGGTCATTTTAGAAACTATTTTGGGAACTTTATTGCTGGAATACATTTACTTGTCAGATTATGCTTCTTATTTGAATGCTTAGTTAGATATGACATTGTTGTGCCCTTCATCATTTAAAACAGAAAAAAAAAAAAAAAAAAGATTGATTCTTTTCTTGTATGCCAAAAGCTTCTAAATGGTTTGGCTCTTAAGCAATTCAAGATTGATTCTTTTATTGTATGGCAAGATTTCTTTTGACAATGTGTTTTACACAATTTTTACTTTATGCATGTGATAGGGTCTGTCTCTAGAGCAATTCAAGATTGTGATTCCTAAAATTCCTGCATATTTCATGGTATGAAAATTCTCTCTTTATAATTTTTATCAACAAAGCTGTATTCTACTAGCACACAACAAGGAATATCCTTTACATTGTACTATTGAATACTATGATAAACTGATGTTTATATACATATATATATATATGAAGATGTTACTTTATAATTATACAACATCATATTAGAACATAACCTACCCTATTAGCCTTATTTTTTGATCTATGGTTTTTACAGTGTGACTTTCTAATCCCTTAATCAGATTGTATGCAGTCAGTTAAATGTTACATATCCTTGCATTTGAGATAGATGAACATCTATGACTGTTCAGATTAGATAAACATCTATGCACTGCATTTGAGTTGTGGCTAGTTTGGTTTGTTTTGTAATTCGCTTGTATACATATTATTTTCTTTTGTGCTTATATATAATGTCTTTGTTATAATAAGATGGCAAAGAAGAATAGTAACTTCACCACAACTGAACATGTTGCAAGTGGATCCCGAAAATTGTTAGCTTTGTGGAATGCTCAAACTATAGCCATCTTTATTGACCTTTGTATCAAGGAGGTGGATCTAGATCGTCCCGGTACTCCCTTTAATAAAGTTGGTTGGGCAAGGTTGGTTACAAATATTAGTAAGGAGATAGGAAAACCGTATAAAAAATTACAATTGAAAAACAAGTGGGATTTACTAAAAAAAGAATGAAAATTAGAGATCTAAAAGGGAAAG